TAGACCTTCACCAAAACAGCCATTAGAGATGAACGAGTCGTTTTTCAGTTCGGATACTATTCAACCAGTTCCGACAGTATTGTGTTTCTTAAGCTGTATGGACATTTCTGAATATTGTAGGTTTTTTTTAGAATGTCAGCAGACCTTCGCTTCTTGAATCATTTATTTTATTGTATGTAGATGCACCATAGTCAAGCCTGAAGTGCTTCATTATGGCTCATTTCTGTTTCCTTGTATTAATTAATTCTTTCTCGCAAAAAAAGTTAAAATTATAAATTCTTTCTTTGCTCAAACATTTTCAAAGAAAACTATGAAGGAAAACGTTCGCTATATTATCTAAGAAACAAATCATCAGTAGACTAGCGAACGACATAACTAGAAGGCTATATTCTCTTGATCAAAAAATGACAGTGAAAGTAGTGCTACCCTATTGACATCATATATTTTTGATAACATGATGCATGTAATGAGGACGCCAGCTGCTGCTGTCCTTTCAAACCAAGAGGGCGCGCTAGTATTTTGGCTTCGACGCTAGGTTGCGCCCACAACCTATGATGTGCTATATTTATTGAATTCATTAGTGAAAAGAGTCTCATCGATTAGTAGAAAAATCATCTATTATACCACAGCCATCTCTTTATTTATTTATAGATGAATGCTTTTTTAATACTCGAATTCTTATTGGTAGCATATCATCCAATTATATATTTCTTTCAAGAATAGTTAATTTACTTGTTTTCTTTGGCCCCGAACAGACCAAAAATTCATAGAATTAAATTTTGTTTTAAGTTAGTAGCCGTCCACACTGAAACATTAAATCACCAATAAGAATATAAGACAAGCCTCTTTCATGAATGCAAAGTGCATAGTAGAAAATGTCAGTGCATTGAAAGACGTCGCTATTGTATGTGCTGTACTTAATAACAGCTAATCTTCAACAACTTCGTTACAAACTCAATATTTCTTGAATAAGTAAAAATGAGAAGTCAATCGGGTTTTTTAAGTAGCAGCTATATTGTTTATTAACAAAATATTATTTCTAGAAGCCTTTTTATACATACATGAAATAAAATTTATTTCAAAATAAATAATCAGCACACGGCAATTTATTCCATCGAAGAGAAGTGCAAAGTTTTATCAAATAATTTTCAAAAAAATCAACAAATTTTAACAATAAATTTTTATACAGAGAAAACACCATATACATAAAAAATTCATCAGAAAAAAAATTACATTTACAAAGGATTTTGTACAAAAAACTCTGTTAGTGCTTCTCGAGTATCAATACCACGATTCGTATGAACATTAGATGAAAGTTTCTTATGTATAACTGGTAATGTTTCCCAATCTACTTCTACACTATCACCATGATAAATGCATAAATTGTGGATGATAGTTGCAGCTTTAACAATATTTATAACATTATTTAAATCATGTTCTAATTTGCGATGAAGTAACCTAAACCGATTTTTAAGTGAGCCGAAAGCTCTTTCTATTGAACAACGAGCTCGACTTAAACGATAGTTAAATAATGTCTGGGTCTTGGGCATGTTTAGTCTATCGCTAAATGGCTTCATTAAATTGGAACTAAGGGCAAATGCCGAATCAGCAATAAGATGACTGTGCACCATAACATTGTTTATCATCATGAAATGATTTTGATATATTGGATGTTGAATAACATTAGATAAACTACAGTTATTATAAATTGATGAATCATTGCAACGTCCTGGCGCTCCTATGTTGACATACGTAAATAATAAATTAGAATTTACAGTAGCGAGCATAATTATCGAGTGATACTTCTTGTAATTAAAATAATCGCATTCAAAACCAAGTGGCGGCTTAATAGCAATATGTGTACCATCTACCGCTCCAAGACATAAAGGATAACCACATTTAATTAAAAAGCCGTCGATCGTTTCTTTAATTTCAGCATCTGTTGTTGGGAATTTGATAAATCGATGAAAAAATTTGTCAACTAAAATAGAACAAAATTCGTGAAAAATTTCACGAGCAGTGCTCTTGCCAATACCAAATAGATGGCCAATTGTTCTAAATTCACTCGACGATCCAAGTGCATAAAGTGCACATGCAAGTCTTTTCTCGATTGGTATAGCTGCTCTATAATTCGTATCTAATTTTTCCATATATGGTCTAATTTGTTGAAGTAATGACGAGAAAGTTGATCGTTCTATTCTAAAATTCTCCTTAAATTGTTGGTTGGACATTAAAGGCACGATTTCGCTCCACCATCTTCCACTTTTTTTAAAACACCAAATAGAACGATTAGTGATGGACGGTGTACTATGAAATAATAATAATATTGATAAGATCAGTTGATTTTTACAATTTAAATTACGACGATAATTTTGTATTACACGTTGACATTCTATACGAGTTTTAAAAATATCCGATTTCAATCTAATTCTTCTAATCAAATATATATTTAATAAACAAATTAATGTTTTTTCATTCATCTAGAAATATAAAGAATAATTAGTAAAAAAGAAATCATTCGAGTACACTCATATTCATGCTAAATATATGTTGAAATTCATGGTAGTCTGAAATATGTTGATATGTACTTTAAAAATAAATATTATTAAGGATTGCACTTTTATTTTCATAACAAAAAATTAAGCAAGAATATCTGTAGTCATTACATTAACAAATAATATAATAATGTAAAGATCATGATAAAGAAAAAAAAATTTTCTTAAACAGTTTCAAAAAATCTCGAGTCAAGAAGTGTATAATAAATAAATAAATAAATACATATTCCAAGAAAAAATACGCATTAATTAACACATAAATTATCAACTCAGGGAAATCTTCAACAATTTTTTGTCATACTATTCATAATAGTTTTAATAACATTTAAAAATTCACGTTCGTTGTTTATGCTTTCTTCTTGAAGACGTGTTTGTTTTTCTAATAGTTCAAGTGCTTTCACTTCTGAATTAGCTGCAATGTCGCTGACAGATTCAATTTTGCCGACTAATTCTTTTATAAGATCTATCCTACAACAGAAGACGCGCGAAATTCACAATAACAAAATTAGATTTAATTACTTTGTTTCTGATTTGGTTTTCTTTCTTGCACTAACAGTCTTCTTTGTCGTGGAGCTAATTGTTGCAGGAACATCAGACTTTGAAATGGATACAATATTTGAAGCATTTGTTGAATTAGTTGCGTTTCCATGAACAAGATTATTTGGTTCATCATTATTGATTGTTAATGTAGTACTATCATCTACCTGTTCTGATGTTTGTGTTGCATTTAAATCAGGTAATGAAGTATTATTAATATCATCCAAAAGTTGTTCTTGTTCTTCTTCTGTTAAGATTGAATCAGATAAAAGACTCTCATTGTTATATGGTCGTTCTCCTGAGAAAAAAAAATATAAAATATGAAAGAATTTAAATAAAAAAAGAATTTCTGTTTTAAGTGCTGCTGCATAGTGTTTGAAAAGTTTGCTTCTTTGGAAAAAGTAAAAAATGTTTATCTCACCTAGAAGTTTATCAATCAAATCATAATATGGCCATGACGACGGACTGCTACCTGTTGTTCCTAATTCCTTTTTTTTCCGTCGATATTCTGTAACCATATTTCCGATTTTTGACTTAACATCAGCAGCAGTGAGAGAACGATCTTTAAGTATTTGATTTAACTGATTTGCCATTGAATGATAAATAGGACTATGTCTGGATTTGCCAGATATTAATTGAGGATAATAATCAGTCCATACACTTATGAAAGTAATTGTTTCATTTTCAGTCCAGGTTTTGCGTTTCGCTATTTTCAAACCTAAATGAGAGAGTTGCGTCGATTATCTAATTAATTTATGCTGACTTACTACTTTCTTCAACTTTGATTCTTTTACTTGATTGTTTTTGGCTTCGTTGTGCAACTTCAGAATGTGGTGAAGAAATTCTTTTTTTTTTTTGAAGGTGATGACGTCTTTTGTAAATTTGATGTTGCATTAATTGGACCTATAATTTTCGACTTTCCAGTTTCATTGTTTTGAATAACTAAAACGTAAACGACAGAATATTTTAGTTGTGTTTAGTGATTATTATTTAAGACTGAAAAAAAAGCTTTTTTTATATTTAAAAACTGTTGTAAATCTTGCAACGTGTGCATAACGAATGGTTTTCGAGTGTAATACACTTACAAGTATCTTTTGTTGGCATGATATCATAATTACTTGGTCCTTTGACTGGTGCACAAACAACAGAAGATGATGAATTTACCGATGTTTCATGAATAGGTACAGCTACAATTGAACTATTTGTCTTCACGGCTCTTGTTTCATTAGTCAAAGTAAATGTTGAGGGTAATGAGTTTACAATAATACGAGTAGGTGTTGCAGCAGTTACTCCTGTAAAACCCTGCAGAAACTGAGCAGAAGATACGGTGTTTTGTTGATTTAGTATAGGTCGAACAGTTCGAAGATGAATTGTAGCTTGTGATGGAATATTACTTTGAAAATCCTGGTTAAGAGATTTGATAACATGAATGTATTGTGGTTTCATTCTGAAATGGAAAAAGAAAATAAACAAGTTGTTTTTTTTTGTGTGAAATACGATTGAATTTGTATCAAATGGTCGATATTCATTTTTGACGTCAAGTAATATAATGGCGGGCATAGTTGGCGTACACATTCCGCCTTGAAAAAAATCTACATATACGAGGCGCCACATCTGTTTTTTTTATTGGTGAAGGGATATAATTTCTCATTGGCGCATTAACGTTAAATCGTCTCGAAAAGATGACTTATTTCTGTTTTATCGTTTCTAATCGTGTCATTGGTTAATTCAGTTTTATCTTGTTCGGTCTGTTCGGGGCCTTTATCTTTAGATTGACGAACTTTTTTATATATTTTGCAAGAATTTATTCTTTTTCATAATCATTCAACACTTGACCGTTTTTTCTGAATCATGTCTGAACGAAAAGTTTTAAACGTATGTATATAATTTTTATTAATGGATAAATTAATCTGAATTTATTCTATTTAGAAATATTATCCGCCAGATTTTGATCCATCAAAATTACCTCGTGCTAAACGTTCAAAAAATCATCAATTTACTATTCGTTTAATGGCTCCATGTAATATGCGGTATGTACAAAAAATAAAATAATTTTCTTGATTTTTCTGTTTTTATTTTAACAGATGTAAAACATGTGGTGAATATATTTATAAAGGTAAAAAATTCAATGCTCGAAAAGAAGATGTTATGGGTGAAACTTATTTGGGTATTCAAATCTATCGTTTTTATATTAAATGTACGAAATGTCTACGTGAAATAACATTTAGAGTATGATTTTTAAAAAAATCCTATTTCTTTTTGATATATTAAGTATTTGTTTTTTTTTGTTTTGGTAGACTGATCCAGCTAGTGGTGATTATGAATTAGAACATGGTGCATTACGAAATTTTGAATCAATTCGTCTTGCTGAAAAACAAGCAAAAGAAGAAGCGGCAAAAGAAGCTGAAGAAGAAGCTCTAAATCCTATGAAAGTAAGACAAACATAACATAAAATTTTTATTTTTAAATTTTAATAAAAACTTTAATTTTAGTTATTAGAAAACCGAACACGTGATTCTCGACTGGAGATGGCTACTATTGAAGCACTTGAAGATATTAAAGAATTAAATGCACGTCATGCTGATATTAAAATTGAGCAAATGTTAGTTCAAAAACGTGAACAAGAAAAACAATATGAAGTATTTAGAAAACAAATGGAAGAAGAAGAAGATGAAGCTGAAATTCGGTATAGTCATAATTTCTTTTGTATAATAAAAATGCAATATTACTTTTGTTTTAGAGAAGCATTTGGTAAGTCAATGGCTATAATTGATCATGATGACATCGAAAGTGAAGAAATTATTGAAGAAACTGAAGAAATAGTCCCATTAACAATCAATACTACAAAACCAAAAGTAAGTCATATTGACCATTCTCTTTCAATAATGATTTTTAACGTTTTTTTTTCTAGACAACTATTTCCTTTGCTCCACCTATTAATGCTAAAAAACCACCAACAAAAAGTGCATTAGGTATGATAATGAAAAAGAAATCAACGACAAACAATGGTTCTGCTTCAAAACCTTCCGCTGGTATCTCTTCATTGGTTGCTTCGTATGATGATGATGGTGACGATAGTTCTTAAAACATTTTGTTTTTTTTGTAAATATTGAAAAATAAGTTAATGGGACAAAAGATCAAAAATAAATAAGAAATCTAAAGCAA